GGTTTATGCTGTGATGGGCCAAAGAAAAAGTTTGGAATGCTGTTTTTGCAGTGTTGATTATCATTCCATTGTTGTCACACCAGTTTGCTAGTAGTTTGAGTGCACACCTAAGAGCACTTTCTGTCCTCTCCTTAGCGTTTTTCTTAGTTTGGGGGCTTTCTGTCCTCTTCTGAGCGTTTTTCCTAGGGGCGGAATCAAGTTTGCTAGTAATTTAAGTGCACAATTTAGGGCACTTTCTCCTCTCCTTAGCGTTTTTCTTAGGGGGGGAATACCATAGTACGAGATCATCTGCGTAAAGTAAGCACGGGCACTTTCTGTCCTCTCTTGAGCGTTTTTCTTAGGGGCGGCAGATCATCTGCGTAAAGTAAGCACTTGGTGCCCGTGAAAAATCATTTTTTCTTAGGGGCGGAATACCATAGAACAAGATCATCTGCGTCAAAGTTTGCACTTGATGCCCGTGACTGTCTGTACCAATTCGGCTATGTCATTGCATGCTCGTGACTGTCTGTACCAATTCGGCTATGTCATTGACGAGGACATTGAAAAGAGTGCAGGTTGTGACAGCTTCCTGTGGAAGAGTGCAGCTTGTGACAGCTCCCTGTGAAAGGCCTGTTTGTAAAGGATTGGATTTTGATAGAGCATTTAAGCTGTTTGTAAAAGATTGGATTTTGATAGAGCATTTCCAAGGCAAAAGATTGGATTTTGATAGAGCATTTCCGTATCTGAGAGATCGGATTTTGATAGAGCATTTCCATATCTGACTTAACCCGCATCTGGATTTACATGATCTTTGTTCAATGAATGCTTTTATCTAGTTTAGCATTCATTGAATGCTTTTATCCAGTTTAGCATGTTATTCTTAATAAGGATTTCCGTATCTGACTTTACACGATCTTTGTCTAATGAATCTTATCCAGTTTAGCATGTTATGCTTAATACCAATCTATATCAATTTAGCATGTTATGCTTAATACCAATCTTTGCAATTTTTAATTTGGCATGTTATGCTTTGTAAAATGAATGCTTTTATCCAGTTTAGCATGTTATGCTTAATCCCAAGCCAAGTTTTAGAATTAGCTTTTTTTTCCACACTAAGTCATATGGTGATTTAAAATCGACGAAAACAGCGGTAAGGGTATTTTTTGCATCAAGGGCATCT